GTGAGAGGGATTACGGAAATTGCGAGATCTGTAAATGTTCAGGTGTATCTATATAGACTATTTTGAAATTCCATTTTCAGATGATGAGGCCAGGGCAACACCCTTTAAGAGTGGTCATCCTATCTCATAAAGAAATAATTTTCATCATTACTGGAGGTACTGAATATGATGCTTTGGGATCCTAGCCATCCCATTCAAATATATTTTTACATCAAGGCCTCTTTCTAAAATAATCATCCCTCAGCTTCTAATAATAGAGCCACTTTTACTGGCAGGTGAGAAATCAAGCTAACATGGCATGTGTAATATCTATGGGAGTAATTTGAATGCAAGAAAGAGGCTTCTTCTGCACTGGACATTTTTGACTACTTACTGTGAGGCACTGTGTATTATTGTCCCTGCTGTATAGAATATTTCTATATTTGATATGTATTTAACTATTCTGGTTAAGCTTTAGAGAGTGCTTGGTATGTAGATAAATTGCCCAGGCAAGAATATCCACAAAAGTCTTGTCCCTAAGATTGTCAATGTTATTAGATTGACATGTTGGGTAAATTCTATGAAGTGTTTTCATTTTCCTGTTATTACTGTTACACCTTTATGAACTACCATGCATAACAGGTTTCTGCTTGTTTCTTACAGTCAGTGAGATTACCTCTTTCTTTTACTTTGCTTTGGGAAAGTCTGCATCATATAAGGTTCATGTGCTTATAAGCCATTTTTTATTATTTGTTACATCTTGGATGAATTCCAAATATTTTTATTGGGAATTTGTTCAAATATTCAGATCACAGGGGAGAACAGTGATTATCTTTTTCTTGGATTCAAGAGACACCAAATGTTTTATATCAATCTGTTGCAAATACCCACACCAAAAGACCCATTTTCTCTTGCAAACTACCTGTGTGTATGTATATCAATTGCTTGCATAAAAAAATGAACTATGTTGTTATATCACAAAGTTCTGTATGGAAGAGAAGAGACAGCGATTGGCAAAGTAAAAAGAGATGTCTGGAAAGCTGTAGGAGATGAAAGAAAATTGAGACTGACAGACAGATATGAAGAGAAGAGAAATCTGAAATCTGAGGTAGAAGCAGGAGGGATTAAAAGGAGATGGATACAAAGGGGAAGGAAAAATTTATGGTGAGACATGAAAAATAAGAAATAAAACTGAGAAACTGATGATTAAATGAATGAGCTTTTTACACTTTTATTTAGAGTTTGGAATTTAGCTTTTAATTTGCCTGGGATTAATTTGGGACTCAATTCTTGCTTTCAGTAAATCAATATGATGCTGAAAAAAAGGAAAACAAACATTCTGTGTCAGGCTCACTCTATGCAATATTCTACAACTGAGTGCCAAAGTAGAAAATCTTGTTTCTGGGCATTCCCTGCCTTGTTCTCAAAGACTGGAACTCATGAAATGATATCTAAGGAATACCTTAACATTTTGACAGGTTTATGTGATCAGAGCTAAATTGAAAGAATCATATTTAATTATTAACTTCCAAGCACAATTAATGCAATTGTTTTAAATGAACAGTCCTTAAAATCAGAGTTGGCAAAGGTTATTTGTTACTAAATCTATCCCTGATAAGTGCAGAAATATATTAAGGCATTCTCCAATCTATTCCCCTCTATTTCAATACATCCAATTATAAGGAAGCTACCACTATCCTAGTTAACTAACTCAACCACTGACTCTGTTTACATTAGAACTTGTCCTAACGTTCAATTGGAACCTGTAATTTAAGGCCAGTATTGCATGTCCTCCACTTTGTACTCTGAATCAATAGAGTACAGATCCTCCTCCTCCAGGTTTTACCTCTTCAGATAATTGAAGAGGGCTATCATACCTCCTCTCCCCAATGTGATCCTATAATTTGATGTTAAACTGAAATATATGCATTGATTGATGGGTATTTTTTCATTTAAAAATAAAGGAAAGAAACACCCTACTTCCTAATACTGACTCTGACCCTGGACCAGAGACAGTTAACATAAATCATATCATATAAGACCATCATATAAGATTTCCTAGATACATTAAGAATCCTTTGGCTCAAATTCAGGTTGTTATTGATGCTATGTCTGTCTGTCTGTCTGTCTGTCTGTCTATCTATCATCTATCTATCATCTGTCTTCCTTTATTTGTATGTATATTACCACGAAAATATCTTAAAACCTGTCTTCAGCAATAAAACTGTAGAGCCGAAATCTAACATTCATTAAAACAATGTAAATTTAAGATAGCATACAGTATTGCCAAACAGATGGCAGGCAAAGAACAGATATTGATCTCCAAAGACTTGTCAGAACAGCTAGGTTTTGACAGCGTTCCAAAAGATGACTCAAGTAGAGACTGAGGCCAACTAGATATCTTGGGGAGCGGGTGGACATTTTAATCCAGTAGATCAGGGCAATACTGGAGAAAATTTCTATTCATAAAAATACAGGCTGAACATCTTTTTCCAGGCAAGAAGATGCATCCATTAAAAAACTCATCTCTTCCATACCAATCTTCAGTTTATATATTTTATGCAATCCTCTCTGGCTCTAGAGATCAATCTTAAATCAGTCAGATTTATTTGAATGTGATTAAAATTGGGTGTCATCTGTATAGTAATAACAGAGCAGCCAAAATCTCAACAAGGCACATATCTAGATTATCATGTCATTTTTGTGCTGAGGATATATTAAGAATGTAGAAATTTTATTACGATTAATTATATTATTCTGAGCTCCAAATTTCTTGCTCAGAAATAGTTCCATTTTGTTTACATAGGCTCTAGATAAGTTTAATAAATTATTATTGCTGGAGGTGGTGTTACTATTATTATCTGACAAGAAAAAGTTTTCAGTGGGACTAAACATGCAATATCCAGTTGAATTTTTCAAAAATATAAACAGCTGGTGTTGGCTTAATGATCAAAAGGAATTAGTATAGACTATTTTGTTCTGACTTGACTAGTGTATCCTGGAAAACTAGTCTTTACCTCTCAGTTTCTTTAAAAGCTTTACTAATCCCTGTTGAAATATTAAAGTAGGGTAAGAGGAGAATGGTATGTGCCAATCAAAATAACCCATGTGCTAAAGTAATGGAATATCATGCTCACTTGTAACATTTAATGTTAAAAATTCCCTTAAACTGAATTTAATTTATAGTGTTTACACATAGTTTTTTTGGCAATGACGTGGAAACAGTTTGTAATTATCTTCTTTTGGGATGTTTTTTTTCAAGTTCCAGTCTAGTTTATCATATGAGACTTTCCTGGTGACTTGCTCTCCAAGGACTAGCCAGTTTTGATCCTGATTAGCTCAGTTACTTGCTGTGACCTGTAATGTTTAATATTTATTTAAAAGAGCATTTTTGAAGAATCAAATGTTAATATTTCTGCAACATTTATCAATCTAGGAAAATCGATCTCTTTCCGCTCCCAAGGAAATTTTATTCAAAATGGGCAATAAGGAGGACCAGAACAATCAATGAAAGGGTAATTGGTGTGACTGCATATGTAGACCCTTTTCTTTTGCATGTCACTATTTTAACTGGTTTTTTTAAGGTTCAGCCCCAAGGGTGTACAGCTGCCAAAGACATTTTGCCGTTTGAAGGACAAGACTGTGTTTTCCCTCCCAGCCCATTTGCTAAATCAGTTGGCCAACAGAGCATTCTTTTGATGTCATCAAAGGGATAGCATCTTCACTGGGCCTATGGTCACACCACCGACTGCCCTGTCCTGAATAGTGAATTTCCTCACCTCATCCTGCCTAATAATAAGGCTGGCTCTGACATAGAAAGGGAAACACATGGCATGGGCTCCTGTAAGCCAAATTCAGTTGGTGTTGTCTTTATTGATACATCTATTAGAGCTGAGAATTGCAACTGCTTTCTTCTGGGATGTTCTATAGCCCTGGGGTCCCCAGAAACCCATCCAAACATTAACCCCACTGACCCTGCTCAGCCTCTGAGTTTTGACAAGGCTGGTCACACACTGCCATCTGCTGAGAACAATATAGATAAACAAGCTTCAAAAGGATTGGAAAGAGAAAAAAAATGGCACCATGTACAAGTTTAGGAAGACAATTCTGCTAAAACATAGAGGATGTGTGCGTCATTAACAACATGGCTGTGTACAATTGGTATCACACACAACACAAACCACCCTGGGGAGTTTTTTCCAGTTAGCCTAAGCTGGTAGGAATACAAGCGCAAGGATTCCATCTACTGTAATGTTCGCAGATCAACTTCTCCATTTTGCAAATAGATGTTTACTTTCAACGAGCCTTTGGGACAGGATATAATGGTTTTCTCCAAGTGATGTTTTCTGAATGACTTCAGTTGTGCGTCGGCTGAGAACGTGTTTGGTCCAAAGACCGAATGAATATATACAGTTGCGAGCGTGACGCTTCCCCAACTGCTGCGCTCCTGGGGAATTTTTGAGTGGGCTCCCGTAATTGCCAGCCGGTCACGGCTTTTGACTACCCCACATGAGGCAATATAGTAAAACCCAACCGGCGGGGCACAGGTTAGAGTAGCCTGCTCAACCGCCGCCTTCCTCTCTCCTTCACCCCGGTCTTTTCCGCGCCTCCCTTTGCTTTTGGAGCGGAGGCCCTCGGCCGCTGAGGTCTGCATATCTGCTCCTTTTCCCACTTGGCCCCGCCCCAGAGTTCCTTCAGCTCAAAAGCTCCGCCTTGCCGCTGTTTCTCCTCTGGGGTCATTTGAGGTTTAGCGCTGGAGGCGCTCGCCGCGTTCTAAACGCTGGGAGTCTCCGTGGGGCTACTGACGCCAGCAGAGGGGGAAAGGGGCGGTGGCCACATTCTCGCGAAACGCTCCTCGCTCCGCGGCACGTGCCGGGCCTCCGTCCAAGCTTGTCGCGGAGTGGCTGCGGGACCAAGCCAGATCCGTCTTTCGGTAAGCCGAGCCAATCACCGCACGAGCAACTTAAAGGCGGTCATGAATAATAAGTGTCTTCGGGGCCGTCGGAGGCGCGCCGAGGGAAGTGGCGCATGCGCTTTGGCTAGCTTCGAGAGGGGAACGATAGATTTAATTTTTTTTCTTTTCTTTTCCGCGGCGTCCGATCCGCTGGCGTCGCTTCTCGCCTCCTCCTTCCCTCTGGGCCTCCGTGGGGGGGGCTCGAGCTCCGCCGGTCGGCCCCCTACGCATCAATAGCATGTCCAGCCGTGCCGCGCCTCAGGAGGTAGCAGCGGCAGCGGGGACCGCGGGAGCCGTGCAGCAAGAACGGGGCCCGACGGGCGCTTTCCCTTTGGTGCTGAAGAAACTGATGGAAAATCCTCCGCGGGACGCACGCTTGGGTGAGGGTGGCGGGAGCGTCTCGGGGTAGGCTCGGCCTCCGCAGAAGGAAATGCGCGATGGACGGGAGGGAGGACAGGGAATTGCGGCGGCGGCGGCGGCTAGTGCCTCAGTTCGGACTGGCACGTCGCATCCATTTTGCCGTGTGGCCTGGCGGGCGCTGGGGTTGCTCCTGGTGGTTGCCGCGGAGCGCTTCATTCGCCCAGCACCTGCAGCCCCCGTCGCTTATTGGCGTATATCCGGAGCTGTTTTTGAAGCTCTGGGCGCGTAAGGCGGCGAGTCCGTGAATTGTTTTCTTGAAAATAATCTCCACATAACGGAGCGGGGCTTCCTTGTGATAACCGCGAATAGGACGATCGGCCCCGAAGGGGTGCTGGAAGCACATTTAAAGTTCCGAATCGGTCTGTGGCACTTATCTATTGCAAAATATAGGCGCGAAACACACACATACACACGTTTAGTCTGGGAGGGGATTCCTTTCTGTTCGATTCTGAAAGTGTGTCATATACCTCTTTCCCTTATCTGTCAGAGGAATGCTTTGCTGACTTTTGCATGCTATCATGCATTTTCTTTTTAAATGCTTTGAATTAGTCTTTTTGGCACAAGAGAAGAAAGTAGTAAGTAATAGCTAAACTCACCAGCAAACGTTAGTGGTAAATTGTCAACACTTTGTTCCTCAGCCTGAATAATCAAATCTTTGTTTTAAATATTCATTTATATGAAAGTAGCTCTGATATCCTCTGTCTTCCCCCTCTTCTAAAGAAACAGCAGCATTGTGGACTTGATATTGAAAATATAGTAGCCATGTAACTGAAAGCATATGCACTAAAGATAAATTCCTTGTGTATCCAATCACACTTGGCCAATAAAGAATTCTATTCTGTTCTATTCTATTCTATTCTATTCTATTCTATTCTATTCTATTCTATTCTATTCTATTCTATATTTTACATATTGATAGAAGAATGCAAAATAACTGGATTTAAGACTTTTATAATGTTTTATCTTATTGGTCATTTCTGTTTTGGTATATGTGTTTGAAACAAGATTACATTTTTGAAATTCATATTCTTTTGAATTAATTTCTTATCATCTATAATTTATTTTGCATTTTACATTGCTATAATATTAAGAACTAAATTCTGGTGCTGCTAATGCAGAAAAATTATGTTTAATTAAGATATGCAATTGTTTTTATTGAGCCAGTTCTATATCTACTTAACTAAGAATACAATTAGTTGAACACAAAGGGATAATTTTCAGGAAACAGAAAACTGACCTATGGTATTGGTTTACATCTTTTATGCATCTTTGTATTTTTACGTCTTAAAATTAGTACTTACAAATGAACATTTCATCACATATTCCGTGCATTATTATATTATTTGCGGGTGAAAGGGCTGTATATTAAATGAGCCATTTAATATATTGAAAACCTCTTCAACTTTATTTTTTGTTGGTTCATACACTCAAAGTGACTGATCAGATTTCTTTAGCAAGTTCAAATTGGCTAACCTCCATGTAGATTGTTTTGGCAGCAGTACAGAGTCTATTAGCTTTTGGGGGATCAGCCATGAGCAGCTAGGTGTTACCATCTTAGTATTGATACAGCAAATGGTTCCAGTTCTTGGATCATCATATAAAAAAAAACACAAATGGTTAAATATAGTTCTGCATAAGACTAATATCATCATTCTGTTTACTTCTAGATAAAGAGAAGAAGGAAAAACTTGAGGAAGATGAAGCAGCAGCTGCAAGTACAATGGCAGTCTCTGCCTCCCTCATGCCTCCCATTTGGGATAAAACTATTCCTTATGATGGGGAGTCTTTTCATCTGGAATATATGGATCTTGATGAATTCCTGTTGGAAAATGGAATCCCTTCCAGTCCTGCTCATCTAAATCTGAATCAGAATCCCCTCCTGCCTGTGGCTGAACTGGAAGGAAAAGAACCTGTTACTGTTGCTACCACTCCACCTGGATCATCTTCCACAGTGGTTTTCAATCTATCAGAAACGACCAAAAATTCAGGTGTGTTAAGGGGTTCAAAAGGATGCTGCTCAGAAAAAAGGTTGCCTATGTTGCCTAATTGGGTTATTAGCAGGGGTGAAATCTAGCAGGTTCTGGAGAACCGGTAGCAGAAATTTTGAGTTCGGAGAATCGGTAACGGAAATTTTGAGTAGTTCGGAGAACCGGCAAATACCACCTCTGGCTGGCTCCAGAGTGGGGTGGGAATGGAGATTTTGCAATATCCTTCCCCCAGGAGTGGAGAGGGAATGGGGATTTTGCAGTATCCTTCCCCTGCCACGCCTACCAAGCCACACCACACCACGCCCACCAAGCCACGCCCACAGAACCGGTAGTAAAAAAAATTGGATTTCACCACTGGTTATTAGTTTAATTGCAATGCAAAAATCAGAAAAGTAATTAAATGATTAGAATGAGCAATTTGCTTGTCATGCAAAATTAAACCTGAATTTAGAAATGGGTAGTTCAGTAATACACAATCTAACAACAAATAATTTCACAGCAAGTTACAGGGAAGAAACAACTAATTTCACTGGTTCACATTATTGATTCTATTAATATTATGTAAAGAGATGAAGGTGGTAGCACTATGTATACTGCTTTTTGCTGGAAATATGTTTTAATTCAAATAAGTGTAGAATGAAGAACTATTGTAAAATCTGTCTTGTTTGATTAGTATTAATATATATTGCCTTATATGCTGCTATATTAAATGCATTTATCACTGGGTTTCAGATTTAATGAAGGGATGGAAAATATTTTGCCAGTTTCCTTCTCTCTTACTTGTGATACATTATTAAGGAAGGAAGTTTACATTTCAGTGGGAATTATATTATTGAAGTTATATGGAAACTAGCTAGTAGTTATAATTCACATTATACAGTTTTACTTTGCAGCATGCATTGAAAATATGCATTCAAAAATATATATTTGGAGCAATCTAGAAAAATGCTTATGATAGGTCAAAAAGGTATTATTTGGAAAAACTAATTTTAAAAATGTTAGAAAATATAAAGAGAAATTGCATAAAAGGCATATGAATTTACAGATAAAGTGTAAATGGTTGTTTTTGCTCATGTTCTAATGTTTCCCATATTATCATACATCTGAATTCCTCTATGTGTCAGTCAAATGTCCAAAGGATATAGTACCAAAATATTTCTTTGCAAGTTAGTAGATAAACAGATTGTGGTTGTCCAGAATTCATTTTGACTTAAAAATTATACTTTTTTGCCTTTATTAAACAGTACTCTCACCTCATCACTTTTGTTTTCTAGACATAAAACTCTTATTGAATAGTAGTGCATTTGTGAATAATTTTTTGGTCTTTTTTTGTTTCAACTTTATTATTTTTTCTCTTTCCTGAAGAATTTCTATTGGAAGACTATTACTTCCCACTTTCATCCAGAAAAAATATGTACTTCAACTGTGTAGGTTCCTAAGATGCAAGATAAACCTTTGGGAATATGTATGAGAATAGTCCCATGCAGATGTTAATTCATAGTTTTAATTCCTGAAATGTTTTTCTGTGCCAGGTAAATTAATCAGATTTTCACATATTTATCTGGAGAGCCATTTAAAGTTGTTTCCCCTCAATGTTCTCAGTGGACATAGAGAAAATGAGAATTCTGAAAATTAATACCACTGTCTTCCTTAAAGCAAGGCTAAATACAGGACTTTCCAGTGTTGCAGCCTCTTTATGTGAGTGAGCTTTCTTCGGTGAAAATGGTATTGCACTACATAACATGCTTTTTGAATAAAGGGCCCTTTTAATGCTTCTGTTTTATCATAGTTATCTTCTTCATGCTGCTCACTATTAAATTTGTTTTCCTTTTTCCAGAGTCCTCTCCAGATGATGAAAGATTGACTCCTAGCCCTGTTGATCCAGATTGTGTTGAGATTGATGTGAATTTCAACCCTGACCCTGCTGATTTAGTGCTGTCCAGTGTGCCTGGAGGAGAGCTTTTTAATCCTAGAAAGCATAAATTTGCTGACGAGGAATTGAAACCACAGCCTATGATTAAAAAAGCCAAGAAAGTCTTTGTCCCAGATGATCAAAAGGTAAGGTTTATTCTGTTATTGCTTAGATGAGTTATCATATTTCAGAAGTACTTGAAATCATGTTTGTTGGCTGCAAAGAACATTTTCAACTATGCTACTGGAGTTTCCCACAACTGAGACTTTTTAATAAACAGATTATTTGTTCTAAAATTCTGGTGGATTTAGTGTGAATTTCTTGAGGAATGGCAATTTACCATCTTCTTACTTGTCCCCAGAATATAATTTAATAACATTGCTATGATTTAATCAAGGATACTTTGTTTCATTTATTTCAGATTGTTGCAATCCAGGAGGATAATTTAAAACATTTTCCAAGGCTTCCCCAGTGAAAAATAATTATTATAAACTACAATTAATCAGGCTGAACTTCCTGTTGTCCCTTAATCTATCCTTCTGAAAAATTCTTTGCTTTTCTATCCAGGATTTTCTGGTGCAGTTCAGCTTCAAGAAAATAGGGAGAGAGGGGAGATGGGGGAATGACAATTCCTTTTATTTTTCCAGACCCAACTATAAAAGGTTTACAAATCTTGCATACAACCTGAAGCACAAGATGTAGCTGTATAGTGTATATAGGGAAGATTATAATGAAAAATTGCTTATATTAATTAAGCTAAATTTGTTGATATAAAAATGAATTAAAATCAATGCAGTCAGCCTAGTTAATTTAATTATTTATTTACTTACCTACCTACCTACCCACCCACTAGTCTATTTTGACTCTTAGCACCTACATCAGGGGTGTCAAACTGGATTTCTTCGAGGGCCAGATCAGCATTGTAGTTCTCTGTGGGCTTTGGGGTGGGTGGGTGGGTGGGACTGATGCCTCTGCAACATTCTGCCGGCCAAAAACAGGCTGCATGGCCCATTTTCAGCCCGTTTTTCGGCCTGTTTTGGGCCCGTTTTTTGGCCCAGTTTCAGCTGGCAGAGTGCTGCAGGAAGCCATGGAGGGTTAAAACGTAGCGTGGGGGGAGGGGCCCCGCACATGGCCTGTTTTAGCCGCCAGAGGCACCGTAGGCCAGTCCCTTCGTATTTCCAGGCTGGCCCCACGGGCCGGAATTAAGAACCCCGCAGGCCAGATTCGGCCTGTGAGTCTTGAGTTTGACAGCCCTGACCTACATGAATCAGTTCCAGAAGTTTCCTTGGCAACAATTTTTGCAAGTTTCTAGTTGTCTTTTTCCCAGGGCTTAGACAGAGTGATCCAGAGTCACCTAGTTGGGCTTATGTGTAAGACAGGACAGTCTCCCGGTTTCAGTACTTTTAATTACTACACCAAGAGCCTTGGTACTACAGTGGTTTAAAGCACCCTGTTATTAACACAGCTGCCTGCAATTTACTGCTGGTTCGAATCTCTCCAAGGCTCAAGGTTGACTCAGCCTTCCATCCTTTCTAAGGTAGGTTAAATGAGGACCCAGTTTGTGGGGGCAATAAGCTGACTTTGTATAAATATACAAAAGTATGAAGGCTATTGCTTAACGCACTGTAAGCCGCCCTGAGTCTCCGGAGAAGGGCGGCATATAAATCAAATTAAAAAAAAAAAAAAAAAAAAAAACTGATTCTCCACTGAATATTACCTCCTTGAATAAGTTTTTGGGTTCAGTGAATGTTTTTTGTGGAGAAGATGGAGAAAAATCATGTGGATTTCTTGCTTAGAAATTCATAGAATCCATCTTGTTCAGGGGTGAAATCTAAAATTTGTTACTACCGGTTCTGTGGGCGTGGCTTGGTGGTTGTTGTGAGAAAAAAAGAATGAAGTAACATTGGATATGTTCGTTGCATTGAGTTACTTATAAAGTAATAAAGGTGGGATAAAAATCAAATAAAGATACAATCTGATTTTTATCAATTAATGTCAGTTGATTTATAAATTGATTTTGAGAGCACTGTGATGCCATACCAGAATTAACGGCTTCTCATGTAGATGAACAAAAGTTGCCATTAGGTAAAAGGTAGTCAGAAAATTTTAATTTTTAATTTAAAAATTGGTGTGGTATTTTGCCTTACTAGTTCTGATCAACTGTAGTATTTTTAGTCAGTTCCTATTTCCATTTTTTCATATCTGTTACATCATAATATTCTGGACCACATTTCTGAGTAATCTTCACATGTAGCCCTTTGCACTTCATTGTGGTAGCCTAATCTGAAGGTTACTGGAGCATGGATAACAATAACTGTGCGCAATAGCTTGCAAATAAGTCAAGTCATATTTGATCATAAGAAAAACTAGATAATAGATCAAGAATCAATGAAATATTTGCTAAATACTAAACTGTCAATCTGATTATTTCCACATAGGATGAAAAATATTGGACACGGCGGAAGAAAAATAATGTGGCAGCCAAGCGATCTCGGGATGCTCGGCGCCTAAAAGAGAATCAGATCACAATCCGAGCTGCTTTTCTGGAGAAGGAGAACACAGCCTTGAGGACCGAAGTTGCAGAACTACGGAAGGAAGTGGGAAAATGCAAGAATATTGTCTCTAAATATGAGAGCAGATACGGATCCTTGTAAGCAAACTCTTTCCTTTACTGTATTTAGTCTTGTGAATTGTTTTCTATAGAGCAATGGTTCTCAACCTTCCTAATGCTGCGACCCTTTAATACAGTTCCTCATGTTCTGGTGACCCCCAACCATAAAGTTATTCCTAAAACCATCGAAAATATGTGTTTTCTGATGGTCTTAGGCCAGGGGTCCCCAACCTTTTGGACCTCAGGGACCACCAAGTTCATAATTTTAAATTTCGTGGACCACTAATACGAATCCAGTGCGCCGCTTGCTGAAGCACCTGGACTCCCAATGACGGGATGGGGTCCTTCAGGCATTCTCCCTCCTCTCTCTCTCTCTCTCTTTCTCTCTCTTTCTCTCTCCCCCACTCTTTCTCTCTCATTCTCTCTTTCTCTCTCTCATTCTCTCTTTCTCTCATTTTCTCTCTCTCTCTCTCTCTCCCCCTCTCTCTTTCTCTCTCTCCCACTTTTTCTCTCTTTCTCTCTCCCCCTTTCTCTCTCTCCCCCACTCACTCTCTCTCATTCTCTCTTTTTCTCTCCCCCTTTCTCTTTCTCATTCTTTCTCTCTCCCCCTCTTTCTCTCTCTCTCTCCCCCCACTCTCTCTCATTCTCTTTCTCTCTCTCCCCCCTCTCCTTCTCATTCTCTTTCTCTCTCTCTCCTACTCTTTCTCTCTCATTCTCTTTCTCCCCCTCTTTCTCTCTCTCTCTCCCCAATTCTTTCTTTCTCTCTCACCCCCTTTCTCTCTCTGTCCCCCACTCACTCTCTCTTTTTCTCTCCCCCCTCTTTCTCTCTCTCCCACTCTTTCTCTCTCTTTCTCTCTTCCCCTCTTTCTCTCTCTCTCTCCCCCACTCACTCTATCTCATTCTGATTCTCTCATTCTGATTCTCTTTCATTTTGTGTCCCTCTCTCTGATTCTCTGATTCTCTCTTTCATTCTCTGTCTCTCATTCTCTCTCTCTCACTCTCTCTCTGATTCTCTCTGTCTCTTTCTCTCATTCTCTTTCATTCTGTCTTTCTCTTTCATTCTTTGTCTCTTTCTCTGTCTCATTCTGATTCTCTCTCTTTCTCTCTCATTCTCTCTTTCATTCTTTGTCTCTTTCTCTCTCTGTCTCATTCTGATTCTCTCTCTTTCTCTCTCTCTCTCATTCTCTCTCTCTCATCTCATGGGCCAGCCAGTGTCTTGGGGCTGAGAGGAAGTCAAGCATCTCCCTGAGAGACCGAGGGCTGGAAGAAGTATGGGAGCGAAGCACTACTTGAATTTGTGCGGCATGAGCATTTGCCTTGGTATATTTACGCCAGCCGGTGGCCAAGGAAGCCCTCATCTCTCCGCTGAAAGTGCGGCATCAGGATTCCGCCTTGGTATATTTGTGGTGCAAGGCAGCCTTCGTTTCCTGCTGCTTGGGACTCGGAGCGGTAAACAGCATCTGGTTCGGGGAGCAGTCGGATTTTGCTCTCCATTGTGGATGCCAGATCGGCCCCCTGCAAGCTCTCGTCTCTCGAGGAGCCCAACCAAAGTTTCCCGCACCACTTCAGGGAGCGCTCCTCGAGAGATGAGAGCTTGCAGGGGGCTGATCTGGCATCCGCAATGGAGAGCAAAATCCGGCTGCTCCCCGGACTAGTCACCATTTACCGCTCCGAGTCCCAAGCATCAGGAGATGAGGGCTGCCTTGCTGCCTTGTGTATATTTTTCTTGACTGTACACCGCCTTGAGTCCTATGGGAGAAAGGCAGTATAGAAATATAATAAATAAATAAATAAATAAATACAAATAGTTAGTGTCAGATATGAATCAACAATTATTTTAAACTTTGATATTGTTCCTCAATAGAGATGAAAAGTGTTCTGATTTTATGTGGTTATGAGAACTTTGTTAGAATTGTTCTCTTTTATTATTATCTTTTTCTTGGTGCAGTTGGCTGCACTTCATTGTTAGTTTAAAATTTCTTCAATAAATGAAAAGATATTTTAAAATGTGACATCACTGTGCAATGTAACAAAGTACTGTCTTATAAATAGTCATATTCTTGCTTTGCTTTGTTTAAAGTGACTTATCCGATTCCGAATGATGCATCTTTAAAGACTCTTAAAATCACAAAAGAAACTAAAAACTACACATGAAACCACCTGCCATCAAAGTGAACAGTGAGGCACACTGTATTCTACACAAACCATCTGATGACTCTGCTTCTCTGCAAGTATCTCCTTGAACTACCTAAGGGCTGAGCATGATGAAAAGACTAAGGTCTCTAGTTCTACATTTCCCTTTGTACTGCTCTTTTTCCTTGTTGTGGCAATTTGCAGTACATTGTTTATTTCATTTCAACCACTTGTGGTGCTTGTGATTCGGAATATAGCCTGAGCAAGCCGTAGCTTTGCAAGATAACTCATAGGAGGAAAGAACAAGTTTTAATCGAAAATCACTAAATAAAAAAGTTAAACATTCTGTTTTATTCTACAAAAGGGGTATTGATATTGCTTCCAAGCATTATTAAGTAATAATACTGTTGAAACAGAAAACATAAGAAATGGACCAGAATAGATCCAATATCAATATCCAATTCAATATCCAATCAGTGGAAAAAAACAAGCACCTTAAGATGCACTGCATATTATCAAATGTTGGCAGCTGTTTTTATCATTCATAATCATTGACATTAGGTCTTCTTTCACTCATGAGGGCCGCACTGATCTGATATTGCCCTGCCCCTATGTCCTGTCAGTCTGTGGACTTTTGAGAAACTGAACTGAATAACTGTTAGTCCTGTTGTGGAGAAGAGGAAACCCTGCAATAACCATTCGTAATGTTTCTTTGCATGCTGGTGGTGGGGAGGGGAGACAGCTAGCTTTCCATTATTGGATCTCATGCTGTGGAAATTCTTCCCTACTGCCACCAATCTCCAGTTTTTTCAGGGGCAGTTCCCTCTGGTTGATATGGGTAGTGGGCTGTCTGCCATTTTTTGTGCCCTTCCACTAGTCATCCTGAGGAATGCAGGTCTACTTCATGGTGATCAGAGCAGAGTTTTCAGGACTGCTACTCGGGAAAGGGTAGGAGAGATGAGATAGATTTGTGCAAGTATCCCAAGATTTCTAAGTTAGCATTTTTCCTTCCTGACATCTGACAATACTCTGGTGAGATTACTGTGCTGATGAGCTGATGCATTTTCACAGTATACTCTTTGTAATAAACATAGTGTAGTTTGTCCTTGTTTTTCTAAACATACTTTTAACTGTAGAATTTAATAAAAAAAACAAGTATTAAAATTAATAAAGGACAGATTAAAAAAGATATAAGATGCAATAATTTTAGTCCACATTTTCTTTATTATACATGGAGATAGAGAGAGATGAGAACTCAGTGTCTAATTTTCTTTATTCAGTGAATCATTTAGTTTGTACTAGCTAGCCCATCAAAGGAGGGGTGGTTTTTTTGGATTTCTGAATTGCAAATAATAATAATGGAATTATTTGTCATCTTTCTTTACATTTCCTAAATAATTTGTGAACTTTCATAAAAGTTTAATTTAGAATTATAATATCATCACACATAATAATGAAATGTAATTCTGACACATGCCTGTAAAGTTGTAGAAATAGTTGGTAAACCACATAGCAAAGGTTGAATGGTGATATGGGAATTACAACTCTGTGGAAATTAGAGTTGTAATCTACATTAAATTGTAGTGTGTCAAAATAATACATATTTGGATTTATTTATTAATGATGAACACTCAGTTAAAGTTATTTAAAAAGCATATAAGAGATGAACATTGCTGTTTCTGGTATAGTTCAAAAAGTAAAGTAAAAGCTTACTCAGATTGAGCCCACCTTCTGGCAATTTCATGAACATATCCACAGATTTCATCGTGCAATACAGACTATTGTTTCCACTTCTCAGGCTAGCTTATAGACTTGGTATTTCTTGGTAATTTCCAGTCCTGATCCTAACAAGGTCCTGTTTAGCTTTCCAGGTCAACCAAGGTAGGCTAGAACTTGTCCTTCCTAAAATGCAGGTTTTATTGTTTCTAATTAGTAAGCAAATAAAGATGCTGTTTCAAATTCTATGAATGTGGACTGTAAAAATCTGAGAAAATTGGTATAAATTAGAACAAAATAATCATAATATCAATCTTATCTCATGCTTTTCTAAAGACTGTGCTGCAAATTCTTAAAACTTGCATTTGGTGCCAGATTTCTAATAACTTTACTTATACTATGATACAAATGCAGCTTATAATAATCTATGTGTCGGATATTCATTAAACTCTCTTGCTATAGTTTGTGAAGATTTTATGAATGAAGAACATAATACAATCTAGCAAAGATTGTAGGAATATGTCAAATTGTATATATTTATGTAACTAAAAATCTTCAGTAGCAGAAATACTATTAATTATTTATGGCCTGCACATATAAGCCTTCAGTAGTGTAGCATACTATGTTTGAATATCATGCTATAAAAATACGTATACAGCAGGAAAATTGCAGTATTTGACTTGCTTTTTAGTTGCTTGGAAGTCTTATAATCACTTTATATTTAACTACAAAACTATGTGAAATTATATAACAATTTCTGAATTTGTTAGAAGTGACATTGTCCCAATTCAAAAACAAATTTAGGAATATTAAGAGAAACTAAATTAAGAGAAAATGTATAGATCTTAAGCACAAATAGGCCTACCATCTTTTGTAACTCTTCATCTTGGTAATTCCATTGTGGCAGAAAAATATATATGCTTAGTATTATGTATCTAAATAAGTAATGGAAAATGAAGGCAGTATAGTAGATGTGAAAATTCTTCTTTATAAACTGGTATGATCTACAGTAGACAATAGGAAATGTTTGTGAACAGCAATGAGTTTTGTATGGGTATTCAGGTTTTATTCACCTGCCACTGAATAGCCACATGTTATGAAATTTATTCTAAGTACTGGGATGAAAAATTCATGAAATAATACAGGAATCTAAGTGATTTTAAGGGCATTCTAGACAAAATTGCAAAACATTTCTTAAAGAAATTTGAATTCACAAAATAGAGAGAAAAGTCTACTAGTGTTGTTTTACTTGTTTGGTAGGAAATGTATGTTTTTAGAGTTTACCATGTATTATCTTTTTTCCTCAGTTTTCCTTAAGAGTTCAAACGAAAGACCGTAAGAAGAAAAACGTTTGAAAAATATTTAAAACAATGTATGTCATAGGGTTCTTTCTATATGAAACATTGCCATTACAGATAATTTTTTTTCAACCCTCTGCTAAGTACCAGCTACCAAATATTTGAGTTTCTTGATACTGGGAGTTTTAGCCATCTCATTTAGTCAGTATAGCCATTGGTTTCCCACTTGCTTTTTTACATTCAGTATCCATTCAAAAACAATATTTTATCATTTTGTCTATATTTATCATTTCAATAACAACCAGATGCATAATACCGTAGTAATTTGATACCATAAAGCAGTAACTCATAAGTGGAGAATAACATATCCCTTTTTATTCAATTTTTTTCCATCTACCTGTTTTAACATTTTTTAAAATTATAAACTAATATTCTTAAATAATTGATTTGAGTAGGCATAGCATAGTTTTTTTTTTAATTGAGTATTAGTGTGAACCTTCTACTTTGATTTGTCTTAAAGGAGATTTTGCAGTTCTCTGTGATCTCTGTACAGATTTTGTGTGAAATTTTGATAGAGTCTCAGTTTGGTATAATTCATTCAAGAAATAGTTGATGAGACATTTATATTGTGTATTCTGAAGCTTCTCAAAGCTTTGATATTTAATCTATACTATCTTTGTTGCCATTTTGTATGATTGCAAAAAATCAGCAAAATCTGTAGCTTTTTAAAAGTACAGTATATATTTATTGGCATTTTTCCATGTCCTTTTTGAGTTATATTGTATTGTGCTGCCTGGAATAATCAAGTATTTTAAATGTAGAAAGTGAAAGAGAATAAGCAGGAAAGCTTGCAAATATATTATAAAATGTTAGAAAAACATTCTTTAAATAACCAAAAGTAGCTGATGCTGCACTGTAACACTCATAATACTCTTGCTTTGGGCATTTTGTTTGCTTGTTTTTGATAAAAAAATCCCCAAATATTTGCTTCAAATTAATCAAATCAGCTCATTTGCATTTTAACAGTTCTTTTCTTCAATACACAAGTGAAATGCATTTACATCCAACTCCTTTACAGTTTTTATTACAGTACAGGTAGTCTTTGACTTATGACCACTCATTTAGCAATCATTTAAAATTGCAACGGCGCTGAAAAAAATGATTTACGACTGGTCCCAGCGCTTAACAATTGTCCCCTTGGTCATGTGATTGCAATCCAGGGCGCTTGGTAACTAGCTCACACTTTCAACATTTACGGCATCTCACAGTCATGTGATCACCACTTGCATCCTTCTCAGCTGACCTTCGATAAGAAAAGTCAAAGGGGAAACAAGCAGAAAAGTCACAAGTCACAGTCAGTGTTGTCTTGCTTAACCACCACGGCAAAAAAGGTTGTAAAATCAGGTGCAGTCACAGGATGCCTCACTTAATTGTATCACTTAATGATGAATTTTCTGTTCCCTGTTCTAGTTGTAAGTCTAAAGACAAGTTATACAAATAGTTTGCCTAGAGCAGAAAGTAGAAGAAAGATACAAAATTACTTCTTAGCTATGCATCCATAACTATCAATCAAACATTATCAATGTTGTTTGTTGGCAAAGCAACAGTAAAGCGGGTCTGCACCTGTGGATATAGAAGCTTCTGGCATTCCCCATACAGGTAATTCTTGACTTACGACCACAGTTGGAATCTTGGTCATTGAATGCAGCTGTCATTAAGCATGACAACTTTGCTGAATGAATGAGATGCTAGCATTCCCAGTTGTAGTTGTTAATCAGTCCCAGGTAAGGAATGTGGGATGCCTCAGGGGAATGAGGAAGCCCTGGAGGCCTAGGCAAGCTATGAGTTTGGGGTGTGCTCAGTGTGACACTGAGTGGCAGCCATGGAAAGCTCACACCTCACCTGGCCCATAAGCCCAGCCAAAGCTGCTGAGATTTGGGAAGCCTTATCGCCCATATAGCCCACCAGTGCATGCAAAGTGCCCCACATACCTTTGCCATTTTTCTCCAGCTGCTGACAAGTATGCCCACCTTATGTGAGATGCAGCCTTCTCACAGGCTGCCTCGTGCTGTTTTCCAAGTTAGCGCTATTCTTGTAATCTTTTGGAAGCCCTCCTCCAAATTTTTTTGTACTGGAGCTGAAAATCCTCTGTGCCAAAATCCAGGCAGGGTTTTCAACTCCAGAGCAGAGAGGCTTCTAAATTCTCATCCCAGAAGTTCTTTGGGGTTGGCATTGCATGGGAGGGGGGGGGAGCTGAAAGCACTTTTCCCAGCAAAGGGTCAGCTCCAGCCACATCTAGGAGCACTTGGGGTTTGCTTTGCACTGAGAAAAAGAAAACAACTTTTTGTCCTCACAGTTCAAAGTTGCAAAGAACTCTTGGCAGGATTGGGGTTGGCTTTGAGCTGCAGACAAAGAAAAAGGTGCTTTCGGTTTCCCTTTTTTGCAGCACAAAATCAGCCCCATATGGCCCAGCAATGTGGCCAGGCATGCCTCATGAGCAGTAGGAGCAAGAAGATGGTGGTGAAGGTCAGCTGAGGCAGCAAAACAGGGCAGCAGTGGGCCTAAAGCAGTGGTGAAATGCTACCGGTTCGCACAAGTTCGGGCGAACTGGTAGTGATAAAAACTACCGGTTCGGACAAACTGGTAGTAAAAAAAAGCTACTGATTCCTCCTAACCATTATTTCCAACAATCAGCTGTGCCGCGTGATTTAAAATAGCTAGAAAGCAGGAAATCCTGCTTTCTAGTGAATCTAAATCATGCAGCACAGCTGATCTCCTCCCTTGCTGTTCTACTTACCTTCCCAAGCCTCCTTTTGGTGCATACTGCGCATGCATACGCATGTAATGCACATTTGGTATGCACTGCACATGCGCACGCAGTGTGCATTTGGCACACAGCACACACATGTGCAGCCAATGAACTGGTGGCAAACCAGTTCAGATTTCACCACTGGCCTAAAAGGCATAGATGGGAGGAGAGAGAAGTGCTTGCTAGTAGTTGCAGCGCCTTTGCAGTCGGAAGTGTGGCTGGAGTGCAAAAGACCCAAACTTTTGATCTCATGACTAAGGGGGCATTTCGATGGTTATAACTTCAGGCATGGTCATATACCTCTTCATTCAGCACCATTGTAATTTTAAATGGTTGCTGAAGAAATGCTCTTATTTGCAGATAAGTTGAGAACTACCTGTGGTATCTAAAAATATCAAATATGATGATGCCAAATGAGTTAAGAGATTGCTGAAATTAATACAATTACAGGTAATTTTAATGAGTTAGGCGCTCATGGCCTAACTGACTTTGTAATGCATGGACATCCTTCATATTTCTTCTGCCTCCTTCCCTTTGCAATATAAATGAATCATAAAAATTCTAAGTTTGTCTGTAGTGATAGGTGAAACAGATAACAAACAATGGCTAACAAACAAAAATGAGAATATAGATATATTAGCATGCTATAGCCATTCTTAGGAATCCTAATTTTATTAGTTTGGATTCATTTATGGCTTTTGATATGAAAGTTTTAAAAATTGATCGTATTTCTTGTGAACATTTAGAATCCAATAACAAAAAAGGACATACTGTTTCCTTCCATGTTTGGTCCATTAGGTACATGTTTCTTGCTATGGGGTTTTTATTAATTATGAATCTTATCTAAATTCATAAATAAGACAAATAAAGCTGGAAGAAAGGTAGCTTTATTTTATTATTTTATTTTATTTTATTTTGGCTGAACTGGGATCATTTACTTATGCTTTGAAACCTTAATTGAAAAAATGCTTAGTAGATTTCAAAATAGCAAAAAATGAATGTTATATTAGTGTCGGAACTATGGTGGTTAATTAACATTATTGGAATATTGCATTTGTATTACAAATATGTAAATACACTTTAATATTAAATCTCAGTCCTCATGGAGTAATAGGTGCTTCCATTACAATCTCTGCAAATTTGTTTAATAAGTTTTAATGTAGCATGGCTTAAGGTGATTTTTTTATACATTAAATATCAAAACAAAACTAAACGTTGAGTTTTGGATTGTAACACTCTATATTTAAAAACATTTAATTAAATCTCTAGAGTTAAGAATTGTGACAAAAGTTATTTCTTTGATTACTGAATTTATTCATAGTAATATAGTATTTAAAGCAAACTCATTTGAGAACAAAGATTAACTGGCAGTTCTCACTTAATAAATCTCATTGACAAAAGTATATGGTGATTTCAAAAACAAAGGACCTCTGCATTTTGCCTTAATTTGCACCTTTCATCACTATACAGCAAATTACCATTTATTATATCATGAATTAAATTCCTAACATTTTAACTATAAGAAATTGGACATGCCTTGCATTTTGTGCGCTTATATTCCTGCTCTAATCATATTTTAATAAATGGAAAATTTGCCTGATTTTTCATGGCAGAATAGTGTTTCAAAATGCTTTACCAGCTAATTGACTATTTTGAAAACTTGGGCAAAAAATATTATAGATTTGAAAACTCAATTTGTCCTATATTAGTATTTTGTACTGTAAACAGTTGCATGCAAACTCCATGGTTTGAAAGAACAATAGAAAACCAATTTAGTGGCGGTATTTAGATGTTTTTAAGGAAACTTCAAAATATCACAATGTTGCAAGAAATCAGCTATCTTTAATGTAATAACATGAAATGTATGTATTGTGGGTACAGGATGTTGTTTTTTTAATTCATTCAGTTTAAATTCTTCCTATTTTCTAATAGAATAAACATTTTTAGTTCCATGTATGATTAGGGGGAAATTAGACAAACTATAAAAAAATGAATAATTTTTATATTGAAAATGTGTACTTGTGTTGCTGTATACTTTCAACATCTGCATTTCTCTTTCGTATGTCTAGTTTGTAGTGAGTGAAGAGCAATTTCTGTATATATATATATATATATATATATATTTATATTTTTACATGCGTATGTAAACATTGGATTCTGAATAAAAGCACCACAGCAAGATTATTACCATTAAAAAGCTGAGATATATCTTGCTATATTTGTTATTTCTGCAAATACTCTAATCCTATTTTTTTAAACAAAATATGCAAAAGCTTAATGAATGGCAAGTGAAAAAGTTTAAAGCACAGGTAGACAATCTGATACCATTCAGGTAATATAATTCTTATAAATCATAGCACTATACATAGAGATTTGGATTATGGAAATGTTTAATTATGTAGGAAATATAGATTGCCTACCTCTGATTTAAACTGTTCTGGAAAGGAAGTAACATTTCAGTGATCAAATTATATATGGTATCAATTTTTATTTGTTTCTTTTTTAAAGGATGCAATTAAGATTATGAACTCTCTGAGTGTGAAATAGGGCTGGATTTTCTGAATATATTAAAGTCTCTGCTAAAGTGTTTTTTGTAATGTTTTTGTTTAAAATATAACATTTTGATTGTATTGAATTATGTTAGTATATTTTTCCTTCTCAAAAAAATAAATAAAAGTATATTCTACTAAATTTAAATATTGTGACTACCAATATATTGTATGCCTAATCCACTAACTGAACATAATGTTTTGATCTGTTGCTAGAATTCCAAGTAGGCTATGATACAAAGATTTTATTCATTTTGCCTTTCTTCACATTTATATAGCACACAAGAAATATAAAAAACAATAACTACTGCTCCCAAGAATGAAAAAAAATCCAATACTCTCCTTGAAACATGTGGGCAGCACACATGCAAAATGCTCCAGTTTATGCCCCTCACTCAAGTGGTCCACTGTTAATTAAGAATACTGAAGCAATTTACAACAAATATTTCATATTTGAATCATCTTTTAAAACAATGTAGAAAATTATATAAATATTTTGTACAAATTAAATTATGATTATGAAGGATTTATTCACTTTCTCTAAAGTATCAGTAATTGATACTTAATCTTAACTATCGAACAAAATTGTTTAAAATATTAAGGAACTTAGTTTCCAGTCATGTAACTCAAGAACTGTATGTATCTGCAAAGAGAAGGCTAAATGTCCAACTGCTCTTGAAGCAGGAGAGACTACTAAGAGTCACTTTTCATTACGATAATTATTTGGTCAGTTTCCAATAAAACTATAAGCCGCTTCAATCAATAGGACCAGAGCAGTTCTCATTTAGAAATTACTAGAATTTTTCATCTCCATTCCTTCATAGAAATAAGAACACTTTTATTTGTTACCTAAAAACAAAAGAGCTCTAGAAAATGGTTTTTAAAGAGTTGTATCCTTGCAGATTTCTCCTTTTGTGAAAGGAGACTTGCCCAGAAAGCTAAGCTTTGTGCAATTGAGTGGGCAGATAGGACTTCAGAGTAAAGGTAGTGGCAGTAGTCCAGGCATGGTTATCAGGTGATCCAAGGTGTGATTACACAAGATATATTTTCTCTCAAGAAATGAACATATTTATGATTTATGTGACCATCAACTATTAACAATTTCAGCTACTCAAAGTGCTTCCGAATACTCTTAGTGCAATCAAAGTTCAAAGACTGAACACTTACGCCTTGCAATTTTGAGGAAAGAGCATTGACTTTGATAGTTTTATGAAATTCTGTATAACGAATAATAGTGCAATTCTTAATACAGTTTTATGATATTCTGTGTTAAGAATAATAATGCAATTCTTAATACAGCAGATAATAATGGAAATTTATTATTTTGGGCCTAATTATTTGAGAGACAACTCTGCCTATTTCAAGGTGGCATTGATAAGGCAGTAAGATTGGCATGAAAGGCCTAGGATAAGCTTCTCATACACTATTCCCAATCCCAACTAAGATTATTACACCCCTACTTTATCCATCCTCAGGAAAGCAATTAAAACCTTCCTTTAACTATACCTGCTAAGTTGCAAATAGTAAGAATTTGAATTATTTTTATTTACATGCTTGTATTTGCTATAAATTTTAAGTGCCTTTTAGGTAGAAAGTTGGGATAGAAAATAAATAGAATAATCAGCCTGAGGAAACACGCAGGCTCACTCCTTGCCTGACTTGAATCTGTTTCCCCTGCCTTTTTTTAAGGATAATTAGTCTTTGGCCATTTTTACCCTTGAGTGCCTGCAATAGAATCATTCTCCAGGTGCAGTTTTTTTCTTATGAGCTACAGTACAGATAGATAAGGCAGGGAAGGACTCTACTCCCACCACCTCCACATATACGCATTTCTCCTCTTGTAAAATCATTTAATCCTTACTTTCAGTTCTATACAAATGAAATGAACATGAATCATGTGTGCCTTTTTTTTTCTAACAGCCTGACACTAGATGGCAATATTGCAACAAAACAAGTGTTCATCCTTGTGTTTCCTCCTAATCACTGCATAAAAATGCTCCAGTAAATATTTTCATGTGACATGTCTTGATGACTTTGCCTCTTCTCATTCATAGTCCTTACCACAATCAACTTCAAGTCCTCTTTTGCAATTTCAGCTTTAAATTATTATTCTCCCTCGCTGCCTAACACAATGTTTGCCATGGACATAATCCAATCTAGGATGCCTCACTGGTGATGTCATTGGTGATGCAGGTAAGAGGATGGGATTTTGTCAACTCCTATTGGTCACTTTAAGCTGCTGCCTCCCTCCAGTCCCTGGCCATTGTCCTCCAGAGCCATTCTGGTTTTGGCAATTGGAGAGTCCACTTCTTTTTATTCTTCCCTTGTACGCATCAGGATTGAGCAATCTCTTGGCTCAGAGGCATGCCACAGCCAGCCAGCTTTTTCACTGCCATTTCAGGGCAAAAGCTCTTTCCCTGCACCCACAGGCCTGTTAAAAGTTAATATCACATTTAAATATTAATATTTACATATATTTACCTATCAGATTTCCATCTTCAGACTATTATAGGAGAGATTCTTTTTATCTACCAGGTCTCTTGTCAAATGGCTCTGTTCCTCAGGATTGGAGACTATATCCTCCCACCTCCCCCCTTGCAGCTAAAACTGGGCAGGAAAAGAACTGCCTCCCAAGGTTTGCCAAGGCCCCTTAACCAAGCTGAAAAGCAACATGTCAAGTGTTTTTCAATGCTAAAGTGTAACTCCCAAAGTTGCCAATAGATACTGAACGAACTTCAGGCTTTATTATCTTTCCGTCTCTAATGCCTATCGCTTATTTCTGATTCCAAGTGCTTTTTCTGCCACCACTCAACCTTGGCAATTCGATGCCAACGCTGGGGGTATGTGGCAGGAGAGATTGCTCCTTATGCCTTCCATCTGCAGCTGTTCTGTGGGGGGCACTGCCCTTTAAAGCAAGATGGGACTATCCAGTAAAGCCTTTCCTGTTTAACATTTGGGCCCCCTATTGCTTTAGAATTAAACGAGATGCCTGTGGAATTCAAGAAACTAAAGTTATAGATATAAAATTAAGGAGGACATGAGAGAAGCAAGTTGCTTTTTCTGCTGCAATCAATCCAGCCTAAATTCTGCAGTTTGGTGGCATATGGCATTGGCTACATATGGCATTGTCAATGTCTCCTTGAATGATGGTGAAACATTTGCAATCAAATTGCCAAGCTCGGAGCTCAAACCAACAGCTTAATTGGCTACATCATCAGGCCAAGATTCTGGCAACCTACACATTCTTAGTGAGTTTTATTTGGATAAATGAGCAGCTTTGAGGAAAGCGAATACATGAAAATACTTTTGATTTGCAAGCTAAGAAAGAGAGTGAAGGGCTCTCAAGGTGACCTCAATTCTGTTAGGTCACATCTCTTTGGGGAAGAGGATAGAACCCTCAGAGAAAAATGTGATATTTTGCCTGAGGTTTGTCAGTGAAGAAACAGATACAAATTTTTTAACTTCCAGTTTACAAAGAGCCTTCATTTATCTTTACTTGGATATTGTGAGAAAACGAAATGGGTTTATAGCAGATTGTATACCTGTTCTTGTTTTCCTTCAGATTGTGCACAACAAAGAAATATTTATCTGCTTTGATGGAGGGTTGTTTTTTTAATGGAAAAAATTCAATTCTAATCCTTTCCGCTGCAAAATGCTCCAATGGCAGCCTGATGCCCTCCAGAAATGTTGGATTACGAGTTCTGGAAGTATCAAATAACATGCAGCGTTAATACATTTTGTAGTTATATTCTATAGCATCTGGCTATCACCAAGTTGCCTGCCCCGGTTATTATAATCCACGACTTTCATTTCCGACCACCACCTCCTCCTATCTTTTACTAAATTCTGTTTATAGCTGCATGACAGCTTCACAGGGCTATCTTTTTCATTCTCATATCACAAGACAGGAATCCCAAACTTCTTTGTACAAAATGTTACATCCCATCACGCTTGTATTATAGTATTGATTCTATAAAGAGCAGATTTTGGATGGTGTAGGGTTTTTTTTTACTTTTTCAATTGAAAAAAAAATCCCATGTTCAGTTCATAATTTGTACCGTATTTTCCGGCGTATAAGACGACTTTTTAACACATGAAAATCTTCTCAAAAGTCGGGGATCGTCTTATACGCCAGGTGTCGTTCTCCTGTAACCAGGCAGACCAGCCCGAAAGGCTCTGACGAGCCTTAAATGGCTCTGGCGATCCAAGCTCTGACGATCTGCTAATCAGGCAACGCAGCTGGGATCGCCAGAGCCATGGAGAAGGGAAAAAGTTTTCCCCCTCCAGCTTGCTTGCCTTGCCTTGCTTTGCTTGCCTGAATCCATTCCATCAGCAAGCAACTCCCTGCCTGCAATCAAGCAGGCAGGGAGTTGTGGACTTCAACTCCCAGAATTCCTCAGCCAGCAAAACAAAGCTGGCTGAGGAATTCTGGGAGTTGAAGTCTACAAGTCTTAAAGTTGACAAGGTTGGAGACCCCTGTTCTATTGGGTAAGTTTTTTTCCCCTTTGGGATCTTTAAAAAAAATAGTTAATTGGTTTTTTTTTTTAGTTGTTCTTTTTTAGACCTAGCCATTTAAAGTTTAGGAAGTTTTAAATTTAGCTTTCATATAAAAATAAAAATAAAATAAAATAATATTTGTGCAGCTTTCTGAGATTTAGTGTGTTTCTGTAGTGTTTCACTCTAACTACACAAACACACAAAATCTCACAAAGCTGTATGTGGAATTTTGTGCGTGTAAAGTGTAAAAGTTGGGTTTTGGGGCTTTTTGTGGCTGTGTGAGGTTCCTGCTTGTTGCAGGGGCCATTTTGGGTCTAGCACAGCTGCTTTTACATTGTGGGTGAGCCAGTTGTGTTGTGTTGTGTGTGTGTAAAATGTGAAAGTTGTTTTTTTGGGCTTTTTGTGGCTGTGTGAGTTTCCTGCTTGTTGCAGGGGCAATTTTGGGTCTAGCACAGCTGCTTTTACATTGTGGGTGAGCCAGTTGATGTTTTTTAATTTTTATTTGGTGTGTGTTGGAAGAGGGGTAGTCTTATATGGCGAGTATAGCCCAAACCCTATATTTTAACAGGAAAATTCAGGGGTCGTCTTATACGCCAGAAAATACGGTACTATATATCAAAAGAACCTTAAACTGCAATGGATTACAACAGG